AGGCCAGCAGCTATGCCAGGATTGCTCGCAACTGCTTTCTTTACAGCTTTTCTGACGATTGTTTCTGCTTCTGGACAAGTTTTTTGATAGTACCCCACTCTCAGATAAGCCCCTGAAGCAGAAGCATATGCAAAACAGAGCAAAAGGAAGAAGGTGGGAGAGATCACTGTAGAAGAAGATGATTTCATTTTCTGGAACAGAGTAGGGTATTAAAGCTGGTTAGTTAGTGATTACAGAAAGTGGATTGGATATGGAAAAAATGGGTGACAGTGGGGGGATTATATATAGGTGGAGATTGGAATTACTTCAGGAGGGAAACCGTGTATAGTTGTGAGGCTGTAAGCATTGCTTCCAGTTTTGAAGCTTTCTTCATGGTTTGAACTGTTCTTTCTTCTCTTGCTGATTTGCACTTGTTTCATTGTTTTTGACTTTATAGAATTGACAAATATTAAATGCCACAAGAAACTTCATATTTCAGACTTAAATAATTGGACAAACTCCCTTTTTACCCCCTCAAACATTTTTTCTTTTTATGGTCAACACCTTAAACTAATTTTTCTCTCACTCAACATCCTCCATAATTAAAAAACAGCAAGCTACTCAAAAGTTAATAGAGATGTCATATGCAAATCACATATCCACTAAAATCCGGCAAGCTTGACTCAATTTTGCCTATGTGGTCATTACGTCGATAAAATGTAATGACTTGGCAAAATTTTTAATGACATGGCATGATGTGACGTGGAAAAAGTCAACTTTGCTCCATTCGGCTCCAATCCATCTTTCTCTCCCAAATGGAGAAATGAAGATCTAGGGTTTGCAAAAGAATGGGCTCTAGAATCTAGATCACTTCCATTGGGTTCTAACCCACCTTTTTAGATTTTTTTCACTGATGATCAACCCACACCCTACTTCACTCTCGGCCTTACTAGCCTCTGTAAATCTCCTTGAAAGGTTTCCCTTTCCCTTATTCAGTATCTTTGGGTTCTTTGATTTTGGTTGATTATATTTTTTTTCTATTTAATCATGAATTTTCAAAAATTAAATCAAATAATGAATTTTATTTGCAATTGAAAGTGCAAGAGATGGTGAAAAGGATGGCTTTCTTATTGAAGGTGAGAGTGGACATTGTGGCAATTTAAAGCTTGCCAGCGGTGTCTAAGTAGGAGAGGGTTGCATATTTAAGCTTGTCTTTAATGAATAATATGGCTGAAATGGTGTGGTTCTTGTGAAGAAGGAAAGAGAAGTGGGTCTTGAGCAGCAGTGACAGCAGCAAAGCTTAAGGGGAACAAAGGCTAATGAGAAATTGAGAATGTAGAAATAAGGGATTTGGGGGAAGTTTTGGTGGTGGTGCTAGTGAAAACCAAGACTCATATGCTTTGTCACATGAAATTCATACACATCACCAAAACTTTGACATGTCATGAAACATTAACAAAATTTAATATTTACATGAGAGGCACATGACATCTTCATTAATTTTTGGGTTATTCATGATTTTTTAATTATAGAGGATGTTAACTGATAAGAAAATTAGTTTAGGGTACTGATTGTAGTAAAAAAAAAAAGTTTAGGGGGCAAGTAAGATATTTGGCCTAAATAATTTGGTTTGATGTTACATACTCTAACAAGTGCAACCAGAAGGACCTGGCAACCCTCTTGAAGAGGTCCACGCAACATTTATACCGTTGACATGGTATAAATTATCAATAAAATTTTTTTTTTGAACATGCAATTATCAATAAAAATTTGACATATCATCTAAAGAAAGACTGTATGGCAATTTTATGCATGTCTGAGTAAATGAGAAAGAAGTTCACTTTTTTATATTTTACCTTTACGTCTAGGGATGCGTTAAAATTATTTTAGTAAGTGTATCACTTCAAGTAATATATTAGTGAGAGAAATGTTAAATTTATAAAAATTGTGATTAATTAAGTATTAAAAATAATTAATTTAGATTTATTTAAACAATAAAAAAAACAAACTTTAATTAAAAAAATAAAAATATAATAATTAAAATAAAATTAATCAAAATATGAAACATTAAGACATTAATTTTACAATAACCAACCAATATAAATTTTGTATGACTATACTTTTAAAATGTTATTATTTATGTGATAGCAAAATTTCCTATTCTATTTCATTTACTTTTTTAAGTTATATCAAATTTATCTTTACGTATTAATCCACTATATTTTTATGTAAATTTAAATAAATAAAAATATTTAATTTATGTAAAAAATTAAATCCATTTATCACTAACATTATATGAGTCACGTTGGTATGAACTTCACACCTCTCCTAAATTTGTGCCTGTTCAAAAAAGGAAAAAAGGCAAAAGTCTCTCATAGCTAAATTGCTCTCTTTTGAGAGTTTGGCTCGCAATTTCATTTAGAGTTTAGCTGGGGAAACTTTCTGAATTTTTTCATTATCCTCTTTTACGAGGAGGGTTTATTTCAAGAGCTCAAATGATTGTTACTGTTCATCAACTAAGACAACTTAAGGATATATTTTGGTCTATCAATCATTTCCTCTCTAGATGTGGTCGTTTTGGCCCT